GACGGGGTTTCACCATGTTGACCAGGATGGTCTCGATCTCTTGACCTCGTGATCCACCCACCTCGGCCTCCCAAAGTGCTGGGATTACAGGCGTGAGCCACCGCGCCCGGCCCTCTTTCTTTTTTTTCAAATGCAGGGACAAAGTCTCACTGTTTTCCCCAGGCTGGTCTTGAACTCCTAGGCTCAAGCAATCCTCCTGCCATGGACTCCCAAAGTGCTGGGATTACAGGAGTGAGCCACTGTGCCCAGCTGCGAATTCATTTCTTTCCAATCAAATAGGTCATCCAAATATAACACATACAGTTAACTGAACACATAGGCAGTATTACCTTTCTAGTGAGCCGACGTTTAATCTCTCGTTTTTCTGCCTGACGATCAGCTTCATTTTTAGCTACAGTTAACAATCAGAAGGAAAGAATATTACTCACAAATGACAATTTGCATATCAAACGTTTTAGTAATTACATTACAGATATTTCTTATAGGCCCAAATCAGAATAAAATACTAACTTTGGGGATGGCTAAACAAGATAATTTTCTTGTCAATGATACAAATACTTAAGAGCAAGAGTCAGCAAACCATGGCATCGCATCTCACCAGTTGCCTGTATTTTTACTGCCCATGAGCTAAGAATAGTCTTTACATTTTTATTTATTATTATTATTATTGAGACATAGTCTTACTCTGTCACCAGGCTGGAGTGCAGGGACGTGATCTTGGCTCACTACAACCTCTGCCTCCTGGGTTCAAGCAATTCTCCTGCCTCAGCCTCCCAAGTAGCTGGGACTACAGGTGCATGCCACCATGCCCAGCTAATTTTTGTATTTTTAGTAGAGATGGGGTTTCACCATGTTGGCCAGGATGGTCTCGATCTCTTGATCTTGTGATCCATCCACCTTGGCCTCCCAAAGTGCTGGGATTATAGGCGTGAGCCACCACGCCCTGCCAGAGGTAAGAAAGTCTTACAGGATTAAAGTAAGAGGAAGACTGTTGCATTTGGGACTTGCTTTGGGCCTCAGCCCTCAGATGCTAGGAACAGGAAGGTCTCCACATGCACAGCTACCTCCGTAGCTCCCTGAACACAGAAAAACTGGGCACATCTCCCACATACTGTCAAATCCTCCCAAATGCCCAAGGCAGTTTTAGAATATGGGAGAACACTGAAACAAAGTTTTCTAGGGTATCACAGCACACTAAACAATACCATAAAGCTTGGGGAGCTCTGTTCCTTCATGGGAAAATAAATAGTCCTTGTCTGGCCGGAACACTCTCCGATAGCCCTTGTAGCAAATGCTTCTTTTTTCTTTTATGTATATTAAAGTCAGAAACATACAACAAAAATCTATATAACTTTATTTCCATAACTGGACTCACGCTGCAATATATTGCGTTGTTCTAGTTCTTCTGGTGTTGGTCTTTGACTCAGTCGCCTAAAAATGAGAGAAATAAGGATAATGTTTATGTTAAACCTCCCAATCTTGTTTATAAAGTGGCCATAGTATATATTAGCCCCTATTCAAGTAAGAAATCAACAAAATGATATATTTCATTTATAATTGTTTATAAACCAATTTCACATTAAAAGTGTTAACACAGATATAACATTATAAAAAGGAACTGTATATGCAAACAAGTGGCCAGGATTCTAGTTCTAGACCTTGATAAGAGCTATTAGCACAAAAAAGCTCAGTTAGACCTCGAGTGTCCTCATCTGGGAAGTGAAAGTTTGTACCGAACTAACTGGTGGCTCCCAAACAAATTTGCTCCTTCAGAAGCATTAGAGACTTTTTAGAAAACACAGATTCCCAAGGAACATTAACAGAAATTCGGATTCAGAAAATCAGGATGAAAAATCTATCTATCTATATGTATTTTTTTTTACACAAAACTTCTCCTATGACTCAGAAGTCCCTCTTTAGATTTTTTTTTGTTTAAACATTAAAAAAATACAGATGGGGTATCACTATGTTGTCCAGGACAGTCTTGAACTCCTGGGCTCAAGCTATCTTCTCGCCTTGGCCTCCCAAACTGCTGGGATTATAGGCACATGCCATTGTGCTCAGCTAAGTTTTTAAATCAGTGATTTAGGAACCACTGGAATTTAAGTTTGTCTCTTTCTGGTGATATTCTATAATTCTGTGATTTAAGTTGCAGTCTTCTCCGTGAAGTATTTGATAAAGTTATCTCACCTGATCACAATTCTGAGATGTTAACTCGCCAATAACAATTTGTCTGCCAGGTGCAGTGGTTCACGCCTATAATCCCAGCACTTTGGGAGGCCGAGGCCAGTGGATCACCTGTAGTCAGGAATTTGAAACCAGCCTGGCCAACATGGTGAAACCCCATCTCTATTAAAAAATATAATAATTAGTCAGGTGCGGTGGCTTACTACTATAGTCTCAGCTACTTGGGAAGCTGAGGCAGGAGAATGCTTAAACCTGAGAGATGAAGATTGCAGTGAGCTGAAGCTTGTGCTACTACACTCCAGCCTGGGGAACAGAGTGAGACTCTGTCTCAAAAAATAACAACAAAAAACCACAATTTGTCATTTCTGGAATCAGAAATTTATTCATTTCTTACTTTTAATTTATACTTCTAAGACAGTATTTACTAATTAGCTAGTACTTGCTAATTTTTCAACTCTTGTTGCTTGCACAAAGAACTTCCAGTCCCATTCCATATACAACTTTTCTTCTTTCTGAACAAGATCTTCCTTTTTTTTTGTCAGGGTCTCACTCTGTCACCCAGACTAGAATGCAGTGATACAATCACAGCTCACTGCAGCTCTACCTCCTGGGCTCAAATGATCCTCCTACCTCAAGAACCTTCCATTTTATTAAAAATTTTTTTTAAATTTATTTTGAGACTGGTCTGGTTAATTTTTGTACTTTTGGTAGAGATGGGGTTTTGCCATATTGCCCAGGCTGGTCTCAAATTCCTGGGCTCAAGTGATCTATCTACTCAGCTCAGCCTCACAAAGGGCTGGGATTAGAGGTTGTGAGCCACCACACCCAGCTAGACCTTCCTTCCTTTTTTTTTTTGAGACAGAGTCTCACTCTGTCACCCAGGCTGAGTGTACTGGCGCCATCTCGGCTCACTGCAACCTCCGCCTCCTGGGTTCAAGCAATTCTCCTGCCTCAGCCACCTGAGTAGGTGGGACTACAGGCACGCTCCACCATGCCCAGCTAATTTTTTTATTTTAGTAGAGACGGGGTTTCACTATGTTGGCCAGGATAGTCTCGATTTCTTGACCTCGTGATCCGTCCACGTCAGCCTCCCAAAGTGCTGGGATTACAGGTGTGAGCCACTGCTCCTGGCCGTCGGTCTTTTAAATTGCATAACTTTGGCCATCCTAGTGGACTTATGAGTGTCTGTTTTTAAATTTCAATCTCGAGCCGGGCGCGGTGGCTCAAGCCTGTAATCCCAGCACTTTGGGAGGCCGAGGCGGGTGGATCACGAGGTCAAGAGATCGAGACCATCCTGGTCAACACGGTGAAACCCCGTCTCTACTAAAGCTACAAAAAATTAGCTGGGTATGGTGGCGCGTGCCTGTAATCCCAGCTGCTCAGGAGGCTGAGGCAGGAGAATTGCCTGAACCCAGGAGGCGGAGGTTGCGGTGAGCCGAGATTGCGCCATTGCACTCCAGCCTGGGTAACAAGAGCGAAACTCCGTCTCAAAAAAAAAAAAATAAAAAAATAAAAAAAAATAAAAAATAAATAAATAAATAAATAAATTTCAATCTTATTTTATAGTGACAACAGCACTTGCTATGGAGATCTACCTCTGAACAAATTTTTTAGTGTACAATACAGTATTAGCTATTTACTTATTTATACACACACACACACACACACACACACACACACACACAGTCTCGTTCCGTTGCCCAGGCTGGAAGCAATTCTCCTGCCTCAGCCTCCTTACTAGCTGGGATTACAGGTGCCCTCCACCAACCCTGGCTAATTTTTGTATTCTTAGTAGAGATGGGGTTTCACCATGTCGGTCAGGCTGGTCTCGAACTCCTGATCTTGTGATCCATCTGCCTCGGCCTCCCAAAGTGCTGGGATTACAAGTGTGAGCCGCTGCACTGGGTCTACAGTATTAACTATAAACACGATGTTGTACAGCAGATCTCTAGAACTTACTCATTATGCATAACTAAAACTTTCTATGTATTTATTAGCAACTCTCTATCACCCCAGCCTCCAATCCCCCAGCCCCTGACAACTACCATTCCACTCTCTGATTCTATGAATGTGACAATTTCAGATACCTCACAGAAGTGGAATCATGCAGTATTTATTGTTCTGTGACTGGTTTATTTTACTTATCCTGGCCAACATGGTGAAACCCTGTCCCTACTAAAATACAAAAAAATTAGCCGGGCATGGTGGCGCATGTAGTCCCAGCTACTTGGGAGGCTGAAGCAGAGGAATCACTTTAACCCGGGAGGCGGAGGTTGCAGTGAGCCAAGATCTTGCCACTGCACTTCACAGCGAGACTCCGTCTCAAAAAAAAAAAAAAAAAGGCAATTTCATGGAACATATGAAACAGATATAATGCAAATATGGGTGACTGTTAATTGGGTTGGCATCTTATGGTTAAGCAACCAGATTAAAAAAGTGACAGAGGAGCCTTTCTGCTCTGGGAACCATTCTGATTTCTGTAGAAACTTTTGCAAAACCATATGTCTATCTCATGGCTGGGTGTGGTGGCTCATGCCTGTAATCCGAGCACTTTGGGAGGCTGAGGCGGGTGGATCACTTGAGGTCAGGAGTTCTCGACCAGCCTGACCAACATGGAGAAACTCCATCTCTAATAAAAATACAAAAATAGCTGGGCGTGGTGATGCACGCCTGTGATTCCAGCTACTCGGGAGGCTGAGGCAAGAGAATTGCTTGAACCTGGGAGGTGGAGGTTGTGGTGAGCCAAGATCGTGCCATCACACTCCAGCCAAAGAGTGAAACTCTGTCTCAAAAATAAAAAAATAAATAAAATAAAAATAAAATACAACTCTCACAGGCAGCTAACATCCTAAATTTCCAAATTCTTAGAGGATACCCAACTGTGTTCAATACATATTTTTTTTGGTTCTTTCCTTTTTTGTGTGTTGTCAGGCACAAAGGGCCTCTTCCATCCTGGTCAAGAGGAGTGCTAACCTTCTTTCTTTTCATACAAAACCCAATATGTATTTTTAAAAATTATACTCAAAGTGGCCAGGTGCAGTGGCTCATGCCTATAATCCCAGCACTTTTGGGAGGCTGAGGTGGGCAGATCACAGGGTCAGGAGTTCAAGACCAGCCTGGCCAACATGGTGAAACCCCGTCTCTACTAAAAAAAATACAAAAAAAAGTCAGGTGTGGTGGCATGCACCTGTAATCCCAGCTACTCAGGAGGCTGAAGCAGGAGAATCACTTGAACCTGGGAGGCGGAGGTTGCAGTGAGCCAGGATTGTGCCACTGCACTCTAGCCTGGGCGACAGAGCAAGACTCTGTCTTTTTATTTTTTTTATTTTTTTTTTTGAGATGGAGTTTTGCTCTTGTTACCCAGGCTGGAGTGCAATGGCGCGATCTCGGCTCACTGCAACCTCCGCCTCCTGGGTTCAAGCAATTCTCCTGCCTCAGCCTCCTGAGTAGCTAGGACTACAGGCACGCGCCACCATGTCCAGCTAATTTTTTGTAGTTTTAGTAGAGACGGGGTTTCACCATGTTGACCAGGATGGTCTCGATCTCTTGACCTCATGATCCACCCGCCTCGGCCTCCCAAAGTGCTGGGATTACAGGCTTGAGCCACCGCGCCCGGCCAAGACTCTGTCTTAAAATAAATAAATTTAAAAAATTATATGCAAAGTGACGGGTGTGGTGGCTCACACCTGTAATCTCAGCACTTTCAGAGGCCAACGTGGGAGGAATGTTTGAGGCCATAAGTTTGAGACTGGCCTGGGAAACATAGGGAGACCCTGTTTCTACAAAAAATTACAAAAATTAGCAGGGCATGATGGCATATGCCTAAGGACCCAGTTACTCAAGAAGCTGAGGCAGGAGAGTGCCTTGAACCCAAGAGCTGGAGGCAGTGAGCCATGATTTAACCACTGTACTCCAGCCTGGATGACAGAGCAAGACCCTCTCTGAAAAAAAAAAAAAAATTATACTAAAAAAGATAAATGAATGTTCCACCACAAAGTAAACATCTAGGCTGGGTGTGGTGGCTCATGCCTGTAATCCCAGCACTTTGGGAGGCCAAGGTTGGTGATCACTTGAGGTCAGCAGTTTGAAACCAGCCTAACCAACATGGAGAAACCCTGTCTCCGCTGAAAATACAAAAATTAGCCTGGCATGGTCACAGGCCCCTGTAAACCCAGCTACTCAGAAGACTGAGGCACAAGAATTGCTTGAACCTGGGAGGCGGAGGTTGCAGTGAGCCAAGATTGCGCCACTGTACTCCAGCCTGAGTGACAGGATAAGACTGTCTCAAAAAAAAAACACCCACATTTAACAATATCTAACACAAATACTGGCACACCAAATCAATCAAGCCAATCTAAGCAAAGGCCTACCGGATCAGTGTGTTTCCAATCTGGTGCCGTATTTCATTCCACTCTTCCTTGCTTTTACAAGGCCAAGAATTCAGGTTCAACTCTGGTTCACTGGGTCTGTGGTTCAACTTCATTGCCAGTGTGTCTTTCCTCTTCACTTTGTTGGCCAGAGCACCTTTGCACATGGGGAAGAAAAAAATGTAGAACTTGAGGCTTGAAACTAAAGGTTCAAACTTACCTGGAGCTAGGCAAGAGTCTGAACAAATACAATACTTAACTTCTGTTCTCACCTGGCCTCAAACGATCCAGCCAAACACTGAGGTGGGGGTAAAGCTAAAGACACCTAAAAATCTTTTTAGCCAGATAGACTCAGATGGTTAAAAGGTATCCTCTCTTTTTTATCAGTCCTCTACATTTTTCCTCCTTGGTAAGAGTTGCTACAGTAGAGAGAATCTAAGCATGGGACAGCCCTCTGAATTAAAACATGAAAGCTTTCATACTAACACCTCATATTCTGTCTGTTTTTAAAGCTGCCTTTCTACTTTAATTAACCAGGACTCAATTATTTGCAAAGATGTGTGGACATGAACATGTTTAATTTTCTCTGCCCTATGGCAGAGAAAGGAAAACCATCATTAGACCAAAAGAAAAATACCACTTTTTTTTTTTTTTGAGATGGAGTTTTGCTTTTGTTACCCAGGCTGGAGTGCAATGGCGAGATCTCGGCTCACCAAAACCTCCGCCTCCTGGGTTCAAGCAATTCTCCTGCCTCAGCCTCCCGAGTAGCTGGGACTACAGGCATGTGCCACCATGCCCAGCTAATTTTTTGTATTTTTAGTAGAGACGGGGTTTCACCTTGTTGACCAGGATGGTTTCGATCTCTTGACCTTGTGATCCACCTGCCTTAGCCTCCCGAAGTGCTGGGATTATTGGCGTGAGCCACCGCGCCCAGCGGAAAAGTACCACTTTTAACTTTTCACCTTAGCCCATGTGCCACTCTGTATTTTTTATTTTTTGAGATGGAGTCTTCCTCTGTCACCCAGGCTGCAATGCAATGGTATGATCTCGGCTCACTGCAGCCTCTGCCTCCTAGGCTCAAGCGATTCTCCTACCTCGGGCTCCCAAATAGCTGGGGTTATAGGTGCTCACCCCTATGCCTGGCTAATTTTTCGTGTTTTTAGAAGAGATGGGGTTTCACCATGCTGGCCAGACTGGCCTCAAACTCCTGACCTCAGGTGATCCACTCGCCTTGGCCTCCCAAAGTGCTGGGATTAGAGGTGTGAGCCACTGTGCCCGGCCCTATATTCTTTAATATCATTAAGGTGAATAGTTTTTAAATTGGAGGCAAACAAAAATCTGAATTTAGTACAGCCATTATGGAAAACAGTATGGAGGTTCCTCAAAAAACTGAAAATAGGCCAAGTGAGGTGGCTAATGCCTGTAATGCAGCACACTGGGAGGCCAGGGAAGGAGGATTGCTTGAGGCTAGGAGTTTGAGACCAATCTGGGCAACATAGCAAGACTCCGTCTCTATTTAAAAAACAAAACAAAGGCCGGGCGCGGTGGCTCAAGCCTGTAATCCCAGCACTT